GGAGGACCATTGGCTGCAGTGGTCTGTGTGCTCAGATTTACACTTACACGTGTAAAAATGGTCTATGTTTATGAGCAAGATTAAAAGCATGCATGCGCTTTACAACTCCACATCTGTGTTCGGATTCCTGGAGATGAAGTCACCGGCTCCCGTGGAAAGGCACCCACTGAGAAGCAGGGTCGCACCACGGAAACGTTAATTACTCTGCGCTTTTTCTTCATGAGGGTTGCTAGCTGTTGCTGCGTGCTGAGCCGCTGCGCTGTTGCTCCATATTTACTCAGCTTTGATGAACCCACCTCATTTCCCTATCATTACAGTTTGAAATCTGTCATAACAGTCTCACCTCACTGAACCGCCACCTAAACTCCAATTAAAAGCGAACAAGCCCAGCTGATTCTCCCTCTCCGATGCTGTCTCTTGCTGCATAACCGCTTCCCCATGTCCCACCACTGCAGTACCAGCCAGCACACCCTGGGCCAGGGAAGTGCAGGCAGCTAAGCCACCGGGATGTGCAGCTCCAGGAATAGCCAGCAGCGTCCTATTGCTGAAAGCAGAAGTCCCTAATTACCATGCCAAGCACACAGCCCTGGAAGCACAGCAAGGATTGAGGGGGCGGGAGGGTTTGGGTGGGTTGGGGGGCTCTATCAAATCAGTGGGAGATGGCAGCTCACTCAGTACAGAGGAGATGAAGCTCCACACATGCTATTTTTCAAAAATGGGTTTAACTCTTCATCAGACACACTCCAGGCAGAACATGTCCCCTTCAAAGATAACCGCGTCAAAGTCCCAGTGGGTCTGTTTGTTTACAAGCAACCAAAGAGCCCACCCAGATGTACACATGGTCTTTCACAGACACTTGGCAGGTAGTTGTGGTCACGCGAGGCTGTAGAGCTCATTCTGATGTGTAGGACCGGGACCCCATGTGACTGAGTAGAAGGGTCCCCCAGCGTTTCCAGGTGTGTCAGCGTCCCAGAAGCTGACCGCTGGGGCTTTCCTCTGGAGAGCACTTGAGGGGTGGGGGT